AGTACAGTAGAACGAAGATATCACTGTTTAGTTCAACATGACGAATATGAAAGAGGTTACACCCTTTTATCATTCTTTAAGCGGTGATACGGAGGAGGACAAGGTCGGTATTATACCATTTTCTCTTTTTCTATTTCAATCCCATAGTTTGTTCATGAATTTTAATTGGTTCATTGTTCGTTTATCATAAATATTGTATAAAATATTTATTCTATATTTTAGTGATGTTTTGAATATAGTTTTTTCCTTAATGTATATAAAATATGTATGAAATATTTACATAATATATGTGATCTATGTTTAAATACTTTAGCAGGCGACATTAGTTATTGAATCATTGAACATAGCTCGAGTTTATAAATTTTAATTCCTTGTTTTATTATTGCTTATATTGTTACTAGCAAGAAAAACTAAGAAGTCATGATTTTTATTATGTAGAAACTTTTGGAGCCGTTTAAATACATTTTACAATGTAATGAAAAATCTGACTTTACAAAGATAACATCTGTATACAACTACTGGTTTAAAATACCATCCGATAAAATTCGACAGATTGACGAAATATTACGTATTTCTTGCAATGTATGTTTTGTGTAAGTATGTTTCCTTTAGTAAGTATTGAAATATTATCAACTTTTACGTGCGCGCGCGTATGTCTACCTTATATGTGTCATGTTTTATAATTCATATAGAGGATATAGTGATACAATTTCGATCGTAGTACGACATATGATTTGAATCTAATTTTCGAGATTTGGTAAATTTGGTATTTTCATTGTGTGGAGAGTACTAAATTCTACACAACAAAATTATTTGCCAAATTTGAATCCCGAAAATTAGATTCAAATTTTATGTTGTACAGAATTGCACTATGTTCGTGATTGTAGCATCTTATCCTAGTTTCTTAGAAGTTACGAAAAATATAAACATCTTAAATAAAATATTATGTATTAATAAGAAATTTAAATACATCACTAAATGATAATTATTGCATTTATTTTCCGCATACTATGTTTATTTTTGCTAAAATTAAGTGTGTGTAATAAAAATAAATTATAATACTTTCCAAAAAATTACATTTTATCCTATAATTTACATTGCGTATGTTATTCTTTTTTTATTAATCGTATATACTTCATATGTAAAATTATAAAACTCTCGTTTCTCCATAGTTTAGATGATATTCAAGATAATTCTATAACGCGAGAAGATTCTCCCGTAACCCATTCTATTTATGGACTTGGCAACACAATAAACGCTGCAAATTATGTGCAATTTGTTGCTCTTGAAAAAATTGCTAACTTACATCCCGCGGTAAGTAGTTGTATTGTACTTAGAAGACAACCGTTTGTCAAATTGAATCTCTTCGAATAAAAGTACTACATTTAATCATAATCAATACTATTCAAAGCTCAATAAAATTGAATCAGTATATTATCAGTACATATTATTTTGTTAAAATAAAACGTAGATTAAGTTATGTATTTTTATGTCTTAACAGGCAACTAAAATCTTTATTGAAGAAATGCTGGAATATTATAGGAGTCAAGGAATAGAGATATATTTGACGCATAATTTCATCTGTCCAACTGAAAAAGATTACAAGATTATGGTAGCAAGAAGTAAGAATTAGTAAACGTTCATGCTTTTGCAAATTTTTGCTGTATACATATAAAAAATATCAAAAGTTAAGTTACACGTATATAAAATTCAAACTTTAATTGATTTTATAGAGAGTAGTTGGATGGTCAAGTTGGCAGTAAGATTAATGAAACTGTTTTCTACTTATGAAGAAGACACTTCATCGCTAATAAGTGCTTTCGGAATGTATTATCAAATACGTAATGATTATTGCAACTTATTTCATGAAAATGTAAGAAATAATATTTACTCAATTTAATTAAATAAAATTGATTTAATTAATTATAATATTATTACAGAATAACGGTA